CCCAACAACCAACTGTTCATACAATCAGCTGTGCCGGGATTCCCCACCTCCATTTTTTTTACCTTCCTGAGCCCCAGAGGAGCCTTCTGAGAGCAAAAACGCCCTCCCCAGAGGCTCTTCTGAGGCCCAGAAGGCCCCAAAACGGAGCATGGAGGGGTGTTGCATGCCCCTCGCATGCTGTTTTTGTTCTTCCTGAGCCCCAGAAGAGCCTTCTGGGAGAAAAATTGCACCCCCAAGGGCAGTGGTAGCTAACCTTTTTTGGCTGCCGTGCCAATAATTGTGCGCTCGCTCACTCTCGCGTGTGCCAGCACCCAGAAGGCAATGCGTGATGGCTCCCCCACGCCCCTGCACAGGCGTGCATGATCCCCCCACACAGTGGGGCTCTTCTAGGCGAGCTCTCACATACCGGCAGAAGTGGCCCTGTGTGCCACTTCTGGCATTTGTGCCATAAGTTCTCCAACATGGCCCTAGAGGCTCCTTTGAGGCCCAGAAGGCCCCCCAAAATGGGTGCGGGGATGGCTCCAAAAAAAAAGAAAAAAAGCCATGCCCACCCAGTCACATGGCCACACCCACCTAAGCATGCCCACCAAGCCACGCCCACAGAACCGGTAGGAAAAAAAAATTGAATCCCACCACTGGTCTCAACCACATAAATGTTCGGCTCCATTGCAGTCATACGTTGAGGACCTACCTGTGTATGATGAGAAGCTACCTATGTACATTACAGTGATTAAAATACACCAAACAAAAGGGGACAAGTAAAAAGGAAAGGAAAGGGGAATAAAAATGAGATCTTGACAGCAATATAACATCAATTCCTTGCTTAAAAAGCTTAAAATCTTTCTTGTTGACATTTCCTGCAGATGGGATGGTTGAACGCAGGTGCTTCCAGGGGAGAGAATTTTGGACATCAAATGAAGAGGTTTATAGATTTGTTAGCTGACTGTTTAAATTAAAATATAATTTAATTTGCCTTTAAGAAGATGCTTGGGAAGGATTTTCCCCACTGCAAGAGGGAAAGTTCAGCAACGCTGAAATGCATAAATATAGTCTCTAACCTATTCCTGATCCTTTTGCCGGGGTTTTTACCAACGTTTGCAAATCTTACTTGGTTTAAAAATGGAGAATTGAATTGAGAAGACTTGCCTTGGGCAGCTCTAAAGATCGGTGGCAATATTATTATTCTCTGACATTTACACTGATGTGCTTATGTGCCCATGAACATGCACGTGAACAAAATGTAGCATAAAATAGCAGATTTCTTTCCGGCCAAATTCACATTTTAAGAAATCCTAAGGAGTTGCCTTCCCCAGGACGATGGAAAGAGATGGGGAGGGGGTGTATTTATTACACTTAACTGGAAACTAATTATATCTGAACTTTATTGAGAAGGTAGACAGAGTGAGAAGCTTGGAATGGGTCTTGTGATGGTCAAGTTTGGGTTGTGCCAAGTTTTTAAAAAAATAGTTTTATTAATTTGATGAGGTCACATCAGGTGAGGGTCATTGGGAGGTGTGAACTGCTGTTGGGTTGCGTGGGTTGGTTGGAGGTTGGTATTGCCTCTCTGGTTAGTTGTGTGGTTGATTTGGATTCTGAGGGTTTTGTAGGCTGGTTGTAAGTCAAGGTGTCTGTTGATGGGGTGGATTGTGAAGGGCCAGGCTTCGATGAACTTACGAGTGTGGCAGGTGGTAGCATATCCAATGATGATGAAGAACACCAACATTCCCTAAACTCCACTGAAGTGTTGTGGCCCACTGGCGGCTGACGGAGCTGGCAGCAAAATCGGACAGTAGTGAAGAGGTTGGGGAAGAACCTAGGCTGGGTCTGGAGGCTGAGGAAGGCTCGGACAAGGGCTCTGCATCAGAGGCAGAGATGGGGCCAGGGCAGGCTGGCAGTCAGCAGCTGCCTTCGAGTTCAGACAGCAGTGAGGTGGGGGAATTTCTGGAACCGGTTCCCAGCCTGCGCATGAGCAGGACTACCAAAAGAAAAGAACAATTGAGAAAGCAGAGTTGACTCAGGAGTAAGGCCCCACCTTGGAGATGATTGGCCCCTCCCATAGGACATAAAAGAGGAGCGAACGGGACGTGAGCTTTTGCAGGAAGCAATTAGTTTGTCTGTTCGGTTCGAGCTTTGAAAAGTTCTGTTGGACTCTGTGTCAAGTTTGGCCTTGCTCTGCGTCTGGCAATTTGTTCTCTGGCCGCATTCCTAGTGTGATAAGATTGGTGTTTATCAACATTCCCCTGAAAGACTGTTTGCTAAGCCTTGCAGGCTGTGAATGAACGTAATTCACAGCTACTGAAAAAAAAGAGTTTTTTCGGGACTGAGACTGTGTGCTATGCCTGCTAAGGAAGCCTAGATCAGAACATGAAAATGTTACCTAGCCTTGTAACAAAACAGCTGGAAACCAACCCACTCCCTCATCCTACACCTGAGCTACAGATGTTTGGCTACAATGTAATATTGTTGTTAAGGTGTTGGACTAAAGAGAAGAAAAATGTCATGTCCAACACAACCTTAAACATTCGATATTTGCTCAATATCTTTGCTTCTTTTCTCGATCACTCCAATCTATCTCACAGGGCTCTTTTTAGGTGATCTCTTGGAAGGAAAATGTGATATAACACCTCCCCACCCCCAAAACAAAAACAAAACAAAACAATAACAATGGAAAGTTTCCTTCTGCAGTGAGCTGAGAGGGGCTTATTTTTTTTAAAAAAGCTTTGGTGATCTACAGCTCACTATATCGCAGGTGTAGAAGGAGGTCTTGTTTATTTTGTGAAAGCATTTCGGTCTCGCGAGGATTATTTCGACATCTGCTAGTTCTGGAAGGAGACAGATGTTCCCCAGACCAGGCAGATGACGACTCTGTGGGAATGTGGAAAAGACGTTTGCCAGCAGGAACGCAAATCCCTCTTTTGACATACATACACACCTCCAATCACTGTAATGTTCCTTTTCCCTACAGCCCAAGCTATCCATCTATTTATTATCTATGTCTGTCTGTCTGTCTGTCTGTCTGTCTGTCTGTCTATCTATCATCCATCCGTATCTATCTATCATCTATTTATTTTCTATCTATCTATCATCCATATCTATCATCCATCCATATCTATCATCTATCTTTCTATCTATCTATCTATCTATCTATCTATCTATCTATCTATCTATCTATCATCCATCCATCCATCCATCTATCCATACCTCTCTCTCTATCATCTATCCATCATCCATCCATATCTATCTTCTATCACCCCCCCATATCTATCTATCTATCCATCTAACTATTATCTATCTATCCATCTAACTATCATCTATCTATCTATCTATCTATCTATCTATCTATCTATCTATCATCTACCTACCTACCTACCTACCTATCATCTATCTATCATCTATATATCTCTCCAGTCTCTTCTTAAAAGCCTCCAGTGATGGAGCACCTACAACTTCTAGTGGCAAGCTGTTCCACTGGTTGATTGTCCTCAGTCTTATGAAGTTTCTCCTTAATTCCAGGTTGCTTCTTTCCTTGATTAGTTTCCTTCTATTGTTTCTTGTCATGCCTTTTGGGTGCTATGTTAGAGCAAGGCTGGATAATACACCTTGTGTGAAAACGGTCTCTAACCCAAGACAGAAGAACCCCGATGTTCAACGAACACTGAACTGAATTTGCAGATTGTTTCCGATTGGCTTCTGAAATGTGTAACTCCTACGTAACTCTTTGTCGCCTCCTTGTTCTAGGTTTTAGTGGTGGCTACCCTACAGAAGGATGACCATGATGGGAGATGCAAGTGAGATGCTGGCTGCAGCTTTGGAACAGATGGATGGCATTATTGCAGGTAGATCATCCGTCACATTCTTCCTTATCTCTGCATTTCATCCTTGGAGGAGAAACCTTGTAGTTGAGGTCAAAGTTTCTCCAGCCTTGGCAACTTTTAAGACTTTGGGGACTTCATTTCTTAGAATTTTTCAGCCAGCCACCTCATTGCTGTGGGATATTCTGGAGTTGAAGTCCCCAACTCTTTAAAGTTACTAAATTTGGAGGCTCTCCAGGTTGAGGGATTGACTTACAACAGTCCGTTTAGTGACCGTTTGACATTACAATGGAATAAAGTGGCTTAAGTCTCCATGCGGCCCATTTTCGATGCAGGTAAGTGCAGGGTCTGCACAGAGGCTCTGGGAGGGGGGAAAAACAACCCTCCCAGAAGTTCTGGTAGGCCATGCCCACCATGGCCACACCCACCCAGCAATTGGGATAACCAGCTAAATAGGAGCCAGGAGCATGTAGCAGCGTCCCCAAAAGCCAACGCAATCCTAAGTTGCATTAACAGAGGGATACAATCAAGATCAAGTGAAGCACTAATACCCCTCTGTAAAGCCTTAGTAAGTAAGACCACACCTAGAGTACTGCATCCAGTTTTGGTCACCACACTATAAAAGACAGTGGTGGGATTCAAATTTTTTTATTACCAGTGCTGTGGGCATGGCTTGGTGGGTGTGGCAGGGGAAGGATACTGTAAAGTCTCTAGTCAGAGGTGGTATATATGCCGGTTCTCCGAACTACTCAAAATTTCCGCTACTGGTTCTCCAGAACTGGCCCGAACCAGCTCAAGACCACCACTGAATTTCCACTCCTTGCAGAGAGCTGGCCATTTGCATCCTTTTTAGAGAGTCATTGAGGCCACTTGGAGGTTTGTCTGTGTCCTCAGTTGTCCCAGAGGTGCTTTTATTTCAAGAGGCAACTGGACTTTCTAGTTTTTCTTTGAAAATATTTTGCTTCTCATCCCAGAAGCTTCTTCAGTTCTGGCTGGATGGTGGGGAATGGAAGGATTTATACAAGTGGTGGGATTCAATTTTTTTTTACTACCAGTTCTGTGGGCATGGCTTAGTAGGCATGGCAGGGGAAGGATACTGTAAAATCTTCAGTCAGAGGTGGTATTTGCTGGTTCTCTGAACTACTCAAAACTTCCACTATTGGTTCTCCAGAACTAGTCAGAACCTGCTGAAGGCCACCTCTGATAAAAGAGATGTGGAGACTTTAGAAAAAGGACAGAGAAGAGCAACCATGATGATGAGGGGACTGGAGACTAAAACATACAATGAACAGTTGCAGGAACTGGGCATGGCTAGTCCAGGGAAGAGAAGGACCAGGGAGACAGGATAGCAACCTTCCAATATTTGAGGGGCTGCCCCGGAGAAGAGGAAGGGTCAAGCTATTTTCCAAGGACCCCAAAGGCCAGACAAGGAACAGTGGAAGGAAACAGAACAAGGAGAGATTCAACCAAGAAATAAGGAGAATCTTTCTGACAGTGAGAACAATCAAGCAATGGAACAGAAGTTGCCCTCAGAAGTTGTGGGAGCATCATCACTTGAGACTTTCAAGAAGAGATTGGACTCCCATCTGTCAGAAATGGTGTAGTAGGGTCTCCTGCTTGGTTGGGGGTTGGGCTAGATGACCTACAAGGTCCCTTCCAACTCTGATTATCTGATCTGATCGTAACCATGGAGCAAAACTCCCTTAACACATTTCTCACTGAAGTCACATCAATTCTGGGCTCAGTTGTGGCTGTACGTTGAGGACTCCCTGGATAATTTGATGTTCAATCTGCAGGTTTAACCTTCTCATTCTCACCCTCGCCCTCCAGGGTCCAAAGCACTGGAATACTCCAATGGCTTGTTTGATTGCCAGTCCCCGACGTCTCCGTTCATGGGAAGTTTGCGGGTTCTGCACCTGGTAGAAGACCTCCGGGGTTTGTTGGAGATGATGGAAATAGACGAGAAAGAAGGACTGAGGTGCCAGGTCCCCGATTCGACGGCCGAGATTTTGATGGAATGGCTGCAAAACCAAATGGTGAGACCAATGCATGGGTCATTGTAAATTATGGTGAACAATATACAGTGGGGCCCAGCCTTAAAAAAAACAACCCAGGATTTTTAACATAAATATTTGTTGAAGGAAGGAAGGAAGGAAGGAAGGAAGGAAGGAAGGAAGGAAGGAAGGAAGGAAGGAAGGAAGGAAAAGGGAGAGAGAGGGGGGGAGAGGGAGTGGGAGTGGGAGAAAGAAAGAAAAAGAAAGAAAGAGGAAAGGAAAGAAAGAAAAGGGAAGGAAGGAAGGAAGGAAAAGAGAGAGAAAGAAAAAAGAAAGAGGAAAAGAAAGAAAGGAAAGGAAAGGAAGGAAGGAAAAGAAAGAAAGAGGGGAGGAAAAAAGAAAAAGGAAGGAATGAATGAAGGAAAAGAAGAAAGGAAAGAAGAAAGAAAGGAAAACAGAAAGAGAGAGGGAAGGAAACAAAGAAAAGGGAAGGAAAGAAAAGAGACAGAGAAAGAAAAAAAATCAAAAAGAAAGAAAGAGGAAAGGAAAGAAAGGGAAGGAAGGAGGAAAAAAGAAAGAGGGAAGGAAAGAAAGAAAAGGGAAGGAAGAAAAAGAAGGATGGAAGAAAGAAAAAGAAAAAGAGGGAAGGGGAAAAAGAAAGGGAAGTAAACAAAGAAAAGGGAAGGAAGGAAGGCAAGAAAGAAAGAAAGAAAGAAAGAAAGAAAGAAAAAGAAAGAAAGAAAGAAAGAAAGAAAGAAAGAAAGAATGGTGGCTCAAGTGGCTGGAACCCTGGACAGGAGGTTAGCAAGCCCGTGTTCGAGACCCGAGTGCTGGGTGGGTCAGGGTGAACTCCCATCCTTTGCTTCAGCTCCTGCTGGAGACATGAAAGGATTCTCCCCAAATGGGTGTTCCCTAGGCAACGGTGATGTCATCTGCTGATCCTTTCAACCTGGAAGTGCCTCTGTGCTTTGACCCTGAATGCGATGCAATGTGACATGCTTGTCAAAATCTTATGGTGTTGAAGGAAGGAAGGAAGGAAGGAAGGAAAAGAGAAAAGGAAGGAAGGAAAAAAGAAAGGAAGGAAGGAAGGAAGGAAGGAAGGAAGGAAGGAAGGAAAGAGAAGAAAGAAAAAAGGAGTGAAAGAAAGAATTTAGATAGAAGGTTGTTATCTTCTCATATTTCCCACGTAACTGACTTTTGATATTAACCTGACAATGCATGTAGGATTGCATTATATCTTACTATCTTGTAAGCAAATTATGATAATTTCAGCCTTTTAGAATTTAGAATAAATTTAGAATAAATTTTAGAATAAATTCAGTTACTATTGTCTGAACTACTTTTACCCCTTCTGTAATTCGTCATGTAAATTGATGGCCAATTAATAATGGTGAAAAACACTCATGCTTTTAAAAATGATGATGTATGCTATCCAGTTCTTTGGTGAAAGGAAAGTTTAGGAAAAAACCAGACTTGAGCCCAGTTTGCAGTTCTAATTTCGCACTGTCCGTCCATTAACATTGAAAAACAAAAATCAGCTTGCAGAACAATAGAATGGAATGGAATGAATAGAACAGTACAGTACAGTACAGTATAGTACAGTACAGAACAGAATAGAAAAGAATAGAATAGAATGTGAAATAGAATGGAATGGAATAGAATAGAACAGAATATGGAACAGAATAGAATGGAATACAATTAATCCCATTAGAATAGAATAAGAAATGAATAAAATAGAATACAATAAAATAAAAGCACACAATAAGAAAAGAATAAGAAAAGAACAACACAGTTCCAAGGGATCTTAGAGATCTTCTAGTCCAACCCCCTGCTCAGGCAGGAACCCTATACCATTTTAGACAAATGGTATAGGGTAATTAGATGAGAAGCTATAGGCAACCCTGCATAATGTTATTGAAAAAGACGACAAAAATGCTCTTGTCTCTTTTGATTGTGATGTGTAAATTCTTCATAAAAAGCTTGATTTGCAGTTGTCCAAAGTTGCCATCTACTGGAAGAGAAGACTACATGCAATCTGAATTCTTGAATGTAGGTCTTCAGGGAAATCTTCTCTGGTGTTTTCCCTGATCACGGAAACATTTTCTCCTGGAAAATCGTTGTTGAGGCATGGTCCTCCATAGATGTGCCTTTAATAATAAGGATAAAGTTATATCCTTATATAATGGCCCTCTTTGCTCAGCCTGTCTTTCAGTGAGAGATTTATGGCAACAGCACTTAGACTTATATACTACTTCATAGCATTTTACAGCCCCTCTCTAAGCAGCTTTACAGAGTCAGCCTCTTGCCCCCAACAATCGGGGTCCTCATTTTACCAACCTTGGAAGGACGGAAGGCTGAGTCAACCCTGAGCCGGTCAGGATTGAACTCCAGACTGTGGGTACAGTCAGCCTGCAATACAGCCTGCACTACATTCTAACCACTGTGCCATCAGAAAGGAGATTAAGAAAGAGAATAAGAGAGGAAGGAAGGAAGGAAGGAAGGAAGGAAGGAAGGAGGAAGGAAGGAAGGAAGGAAGGAAGGAAGGAAGGAAGGAAGGAAGGAAGGAAGGAAGATAGTATTCTTTATTGGCCAAGTGTGATTGGACACACAAGGAATTTGTTTTGGTGCAAATGCTCTTAGTGCACATAAAAGAAAAGATACATTCCTCAAGAGTCAAGAATCATCAGGTACAACACTTAGTAAAGTTATAGGGTACAATAAGCAATCAAATAATACCAGGAAACAGTCAATATGAATCGTAAGGATACAAGCAACAAAGTTACAGTCATACAGTCACAAGTGGGAGGGGATGGGTAATAAGGAGCAATGAGAAGATGGATGGATGGATAGATGGAAGGAAGGAAGGAATTGCACTAATATACCACCTCATGGTGCTTTACAACCTCTCTAAGAGGGTTACAGAGTCAGCCTATTGCTCCCAACATCCTGGCTCCTCATTTTACCAACCTTGGAAGGATGGAAGACTGAGTCAACCTTGAGCTGATTAGGATCAATCCTATATCATTTCAGACAAATGGCTGCCCAGTCTCTTCTTAAAATCTTCCAGTGTTGGGATATTCACAACTTTTGGAGGGAATTGGTTCACTGATTAATTGTTCTCACTGTCAGTACATTTCTCTTTAGTTCCAGGTTGCTTCTCTCTTTGATGAGTTTCCATCCATTGTTTCATGTTCTTCTGGTGCTTTGGAGAATAGCTTGACTGCCTCTTCTTCTTCGTGGCAACCCCTGAGATATTGGAAGGCTGCTATCATGTCCCCCTCGAGTCCTTCTTTTCATTAAACTAGACCTACCCAATTCCACCAACTGTTCTTTAGATGTTTTAGCCTTAATTATCTTTGGGGTCATCTTGAAGTTGGAGGAGATGGCAAAGAATAAACAGAGAACAAATGCATGGGATACAGGGTGAGAAGACATCCTGGATTCCCATCTTGTAACCTTTGAGATTCCTTTTTACTTTGTCATGGACAAAGTAATTTTGAACCTACCGAGAAAGCAACGTGACCAGCAACCCAGGGTTTTTCTTTTCATTTTCCAGATTAATGGACATTTGTCTGCTAATGGAGATGTCTATCAGGATCGACTGACCCGGCTGGAAAGCGATAAGGAATCTCTTGTTCTGCAAGTGAGTGTGAAGAAAGTACTTTCTTTGGTTGGCATACTCAAAAATTATGGAATGTTGAATTGTTTTTATTATTCCTTCTTTTTTTCTTTTTTTTTCTTTTCTTTTCTTTTCTTTTCTTTTCTTTTCTCTTTCTTTCTTTCTTTCTTTCTTTCTTTCTTTCTTTCTTTCTTTCTTTCTTTCTTTCTTTCTTTCTTTCTTTC